GATGAAGGAGATGTGCATTTCGTAAGCCGGTTAGCAAGGCTTCATATTCGGCCTCATTGTTTGATGTTTCAAAGCCGAGTTTGACTGCCTGTTCAATTATTGACCCGTCGGGAGCCATGATCACAATGCCGGTCCCACAACCACATTGGTTGGATGCCCCATCACAGTACAGTTGCCACAAGTCCCCGATGTATAACCTCCAATTCGGCTTAGGTTGAATTTGATCAGACTGAAATTTGGCAAGGCTTCCAGTGAATTCGGCAACAAAGTCGGCAAGCACTTGTCCCTTGATTGAGGTCCTCGGCAGAAATTGAATATCGTACTGGCCAAGTTCGAGAGCCCACTTCGAAATGCGCCCTGACGCCTCTGCACTTCGAGGTACTGACCGAATGGGGTAATCCGTTAATACCCCAATGGTATGCCCCTGAAAGTAATGCATCAGTTTTCTTGCTGCCATGACGAGAGCAAGGATGAGTTTTTCCAATGGAAGGTAACGTGTTTCGGCGTCAACCATTGCTTTGCTTACATAATACACTGGCCGTTGCTCCCCAAGTTCTTCCTTTAATAGTACGGCGTTGACGGCCTGATCGAAAACTGCCAGATATAAAATGAGAGGATCACCTGCCGAAGTGTTGTCCAAAGTGGAACTAATCGGAGATAAGTCTTCTAACCGCTCAAAGCGGCTTCGCACTTGAAGGTCCATTCGAAAGCTTTGGTCTGCCAAAGGGTATGAAAGAATTGTCGGCAGCGATCTGTGGATCGACTGATGAACCTGTTGAGTGCGGTAGCCATCCCCATCAGCTTTTGAACCTCCTTGATCGACCGAGGAGAGCCGAGTTCTAGAATTGCTGTGATTTGCCTCGGGTTGGCTTCGATTCCGCAGTGGTTAACAATGTAGCCAAGGAATTAGCCAGATCCGATCCCAAGTGCACACTTAGAGGCGTTTAGCTTTATTTTGTACTTGCGCAGAATACCAAATGTCTCTTCCAGGTCGGCTAGATGAGTTTTTTTTTCTTTGGACTTGACCACCATATCGTCAATGTACACCTCCATAGTATGGCCGAGTTGCTCTTTGAACATGGCAGCGGCCAATCTTTGGTAAGTTGCCCCTGCATTCTTCAGCCCGAAAGGCATAACCTTATAGCAGTAGGTTCCTATTGGGGTGAGGAATGCAGTCTTTTCTTGATCCTCCAGATGCATGGCAATTTGATGGTAGCCACTGTAGGCATCCGGGAAGCTCATACGTTGATGGTGTGCCGTGGCATCCACAAGTTGGTCTATTCTGGGGAGGGGAAAGCAGTCCTTAGGGCAAGCTTCGTTTAAATTCGTGAAATCTACACAAATGCGCCAAGTCCCATTTTTCTTCTTTACCACCATTGTATTTGACAGCCATGTAGGATAGGTCACTTCCCAGATTGCTCCGGCATCAAGCAACCGGTCAACTTCTTCAACAACAGCAGCAGCATGCTCTGCGGCTAATCGCCGACTTTTCTGAATAATCGGCTTACATTTGGGGTCAACATTTAAATGGTGCTGAGAGACGAACGGATCCACCCCCGGCATCTCATACGGTGACCATGCAAATACATCCAAGTTGACGAGTAAGAAGGAAATCAGCTGTTGCCTGTCAGCTTTATTTAGGGAGGCGCCGACCATGAAGAACCTGTTAGGGTTCCCATCAATTTCAACTCGGTCCAAGGCTTCCGTTGCCTTTTCACTTGGGAGCCGCCCAACATTGCCGAGGCTCTCCCGATCCGGTACCTCAATAGAATTCACTTCTAGCTCTCTTGGTGTTTTTGCGGCAAGAAGATAACACGCTTGTACTGATTTTTGGAAACCACGAATTTGTTCAATGCCGTGTTCAGTAGGGAAGCGAAGTAGTTGGTGGTAGGTGCTTGGAATAGCTTGCCTGATGTGCAGCCAGGTTCGTCCCATGATGAGATTATACGGCGAGGGAAGCTTGACAACCAAAAATTCAACATCCACTAATCGGGAGCCCGCCCGAACTGGTAATGTGATTTTGCCCAACTGGTATTCTGAATTAGCGTTGAAACCGAATAACGGGTAATGAGCCGGGGACAGGTCTGAGTCAGTGAAGCCGAGTTTGATAAAAGTCTTGTAGTACATAACTTTTGAAGTACTCCCCTAATCAATGAGAACACGTTCAATGGTGAATCGGTTTACGTGTAGTTCGATGACCAAGGGATCAATGTGCAGGAGCGTTATGCCGACTAAATCAGCATCATCAAAAGAAATACTCGGTGTTTCATGGGGCCGTTTCGCTGGTGTGAGTTGCCTCTGGCAGTCGGGATGCGACTAAATTGTACGCACCGCGAAAGCAGTTGGCAGGGTGTAAACCATATGGATTACGCCGAGTGGAGGTGATTCTTGTCGTAAAGCAATTGTCTTGGTGGAACTGTTCTTCCGGACATGTTGCTTAAGCCGACCGTCTTGTACCAACTCCTCGAGATGATCTTTCAAGGCATAGCGCCTGTCGGTATCATGTCCGTGGTCTTCATGATATTCGCACCGTTAATCCCGTCTCCTCGTGTCAGGTGGTCCGACCATCTTGGATGGCCATTTGCAGAACGAAAGATGTTGAATTTTAGACATAACCGTGCTAATCGGCTCCAACAACTCCGTATATTTCTTCTCTGCGCGCCTGGTGCATCTGCTATCCACTTGAAGTTATTCACTAGCCCGTGGCGGACATTGTTCGTTTGATCGGCGTGAATCTTGTCTTCTGTCATGTTTAGACCGACTCCGTCATTCAGGGCTCTATGAGGGTACAGAACTTATCGGCTGAACGATCTTAGATGGGGCTGTCTTGATTGCCTTGTGCCCGGCTTTAACCCGCAGGGCGTCATCCTCCACTTTGCAGTATTCCTTTACTTTCTTCATTAGCGACCAGACTATTTTTGGGGGCCTTCTGGTCAAGGAGCTACGGAGGGCACTATCAGGGTGTAACCCCATTTTAAAGGCGGTGATGGCCATGGAGTCGTTGCATGGATTATCTACGAGATTAAAGCATTCCCAATAGCGCGCCGAATAAGCACGTAGGGTCTCCCCTGATTGAATTTGCATTGCCCAGAGAGAATTGGCCTGCTTCGGCTGGACCTCATTGGTGATGAACCTTGCTTTGAAGGATTTTTGGAGCTGGTGGAAGCTCTTAATGGATGCCGGCTCCAATTTATAATATCATCTGACGACCAATGGTCCCAAACTGCTGGGAAATATTCTACACATGAGGGCCTCGTCGTCTGCATGCAGTGTCGTGGCTTGCTTGTAATGACGGATATGATCGGTGGGGTCTGATTTGCCATCATACAGGGTGAACGATGGAGCTTTGAACTTTTTGGGTAGTACCGCCCTTACGATCTGTCGCACAAAGGGGTCATGTTGATCCTCTTCGTCTGAATCATTTCTTCTTCGTTTAGTCCTTGGACACGGACTCCCCTCGGAAGAACTGGTGACCACGACCCGTCATTTCTTTTTGGATTCTAGGGATGACGAGTCAGAATCAGTGCTACGGTCTTGGCTTCGAAGTCGAGGTCGTCAACGATTCTTTCTCAGAGGTCGTTCCGGATCTTGGCGCACAACCTGTTGGGATTTTGCCATCTCTAGGGCTAAATCTTGTCGAAGGCGCTCATTCTCCGCCATCATGTTCTCCAACCTCTGTTCGTTTTGCTTCGCTTGATCCATAATTGCTTTCATTGTCTCACGTGCTGATGTCGAGGGTGAGGTCGGGGCAGCTGAGTCGAAGTTCAAAGCTTTTCATGCGTTAACGTTTTCTGGTCCAAGCAGGTTGCTTGGAGTGGTATAAACTTGTGGTGTAAGGTCGTCAGCGACTGCCGGAGGATCTTCCTTCACGCCCGCCATGGATGTGCTGGAGTAATTCCCACAGATGGCGCCAATTATGGTGATGTGGTTTGGAAATACTCTTTGAATCCAATGTGACACTCGAGATCCTCAGCCAATCACCTGAAAAGGAATGAACACTTTGGTCGGTGGTGCCAGAATTAGCACTCCGACAGATAAGTCAGTATATATCTCACGTTTGCTTAAGTTTTAAGTTTCTTGGATTTTTTCACTCATACCTCTATTTTGGTTGTCCTTCCTTTATATATACTTGTTCTGTGGGCCTCAGGGTCTGGCCCACTTTCAATCCACCCTGTGAATGTTCACTCGGCTTCTTCCGTCATGAATCAATTCCCACTCGGCTCCTTGCTTAACTAGTTCTGCGACCGACTAGGATGTTCGGCTTCCGAGTGATGCAAGATGGGGCGAATGAGATGTTCACATAATAAGCTTCCAAGTATGTACATGGCCTTTCTGCAATCGTCAAAACTCGGCTCATCAAAAGAAATACTCGGTGTTTCATGGGGCCGTTTCGCTGGTGTGAGTTGCCTCTGGCAGTCGGGATGCGACTAAATTGTACGCACCGCGAAAGCAGTTGGCAGGGTGTAAACCATATGGATTACGCCGAGTGGAGGTGATTCTTGTCGTAAAGCAATTGTCTTGGTGGAACTGTTCTTCCGGACATGTTGCTTAAGCCGACCGTCTTGTACCAACTCCTCGAGATGATCTTTCAAGGCATAGCGCCTGTCGGTATCATGTCCGTGGTCTTCATGATATTCGCACCGTTAATCCCGTCTCCTCGTGTCAGGTGGTCCGACCATCTTGGATGGCCATTTGCAGAACGAAAGATGTTGAATTTTAGACATAACCGTGCTAATCGGCTCCAACAACTCCGTATATTTCTTCTCTGCGCGCCTGGTGCATCTGCTATCCACTTGAAGTTATTCACTAGCCCGTGGCGGACATTGTTCGTTTGATCGGACAAATCTATATATATATATATATATATTTATTTATTTTGAACATTTTGATCATAAATTTGGATAGAAATTTGGAAAGACAATGGGAAATAAAAAAAAAAATAATTTATATTTTGTTGACATTGCTTTTACAATTTTTTTTTTTAAAATCTTTACTTAAATTCATAATCCACACATAAAATAAAATTTTGGCTCATCAATATGAGAAACATGTCTCATCATTCATCACTGACGTTGAATTCCAATATACACGCCTATTTCATTTTGTTATAAAACAAGATGACTAAATGAATCTTTGCAGGTTTCTTTCCCAAAGTTGATGACACTAGTTCTCGATAATTGTGTAAACTCAAGAGAGATACATCCTTGGAATCTTCAGGCTAGCAAAATAAGTTTAAAATTCTTGGACGTAGCGAATCTGGACAAGTTAATTGTGAGAAATTGTAGTGAGGTGGCAGAGGTTTTTCAACTTGAGGGGCTAAATGTTGGAGAAGGACAACATGTTAGGCCATTAATTGAAGTAAGAATGATGGAATTGGATGGATTACCTCAATTGACATGTTTGTGGAACAAGGATCCCCATGGAATTCTGGGCCTTCAAAGCCTACAATACCTAACAATTAAGAAATGTTCCCTCTTGAGAAATCTATTCACATGTTCCACCGCCATGGCACTTCAACAACTTAAAGTACTTCATTTGGAGTCTTGTCCAGTAATGGAAGAAATTATAGCAGCAACAGAGGATGGGCTCAAGGAAGTGATTGATGTGATTGAATTCCCAAAGTTAGAGTGGCTAATACTGAAAGATCTACCAAACCTCAACAATTTTTGTAATGCAAACTATAATTTTAATTTGCCATCATTAAACAGAGTTGTTCTGAAGAGGTGTCCGGATATGCACAACTTTACTTTGGGACAAGTACGCATGTCACAGATATTTATAAGTACACGTGGTAATGAAGGCCTTTGGACAGAAGATCTCAATAAGTATTTAGAGGAACGACTTCTGAAAGGAGAGGTAGACTTTCTTTTTCAACTTGATTTACGGTTAATTATTTTTGTCGGTTGATGAACTCTTTTATCTTTGAACATTTACAAGAGACTACTAAATTGGAGTGCTTCATATGTATTTTACTTTCTTTTCTTTTAGGAATGCGCAACCGTGGATGAAAGTGATTTTGACATCGAAGAAGAACAGTTCTCTAACCTTTAATGGCTAAATGAGTAAAGTAAGTTGATCATCCTTTATTATAAATATATATATATATATATATGTATAAATTTCATAATATTTATAAGAAAATTTTATAATAAACACGTTAAAAAAAAAGTGTATCATATGTCTAGTTATGATTTTATAAGCTGAATGTAATAAGTTGATATCCTCCTTTATTTAAAAAAAAAATAAAATAAAATTACGATGGTGGTCCCTATATTTTACTTGTGTCATTTTGGTCTATACGCTTTCAATTACCTCAATTTTAACTACTAACTTTAAATTTTATTTTAATTTGGTCGAATTAATAATATTGTTAGTTTTTTTTTTTAATAAGGAAATTCACTAAATTGATTGAGATTAATTAAATGAGTTGAGTAAGTTTTTAATTTTACCCTTAAGAATATGGCACATGATACTTATAGCGACCCCGGTCTTTTCCCATTTGATTATTGTATCCGGACTTAGGTTCCGTAGATTCTGTCATTGTATAATTGTTGTTGTCGTCCTTTATTTTCTCATTTGGAGTTATAGGATGTGTTGGGTAGGTTTGTTTCAGGTTGGTTGGGTTCGGAAACCAAGTGTTGCTGTCCAGTTTTTGGGTTGGTCGCTCGAGCGTGTACTTGGCCGCTCGAGCGAGGGCTATATTTTGTGTCTGGTGGCTCGAGCCAGCTTTTCTTCGCTTGAGCGAGCGATTGCGTTTAGTATAGACCTAAAGCATTGCATTCTTGGCTCGAGCGAGATTTTCTTCGCTCGAGCGAGGCTTTCTTGTGTCTAGTCGCTCGAGCGACCAAGTCTTCGCTCGAGCGAGCCTGTCCAGTTTAATTAGGCAGCAGCGGGTTTTTAATCAGTTTTTCATCCTCTTTTGATTCCAAAACCCTAGGTCCGACTTTTCTCTCCCTCTACTCACCTTCTCTCTTAGGTTTGATCTATTTAGAGTGTGTTTCTACCCCAGATCCTTTATTAAAAAGATAGAGTGAGTCGAGGGCTTCCATTTAATCTGAACGTTTGGTGATTTAGAGCACATTGGAATTTGGGTCTTCATCTCTGTCTTCTCCATTTGGGTTATTTTCTTTGAGGTTGGGATTTCCTACTCCAATGTATACGTTTTGTTCTAAGTTCTGGCATTTTAATAGGTTGGGGGTATTTTGGTAATTTTGGGAAAAACCCTGATTGTTTAAATAAATTGAATTGCATATTTCAATTAAGGAACATTGGGGAAACTAGTTAAATTCATGAGTTTGAGCAATCTATTGATTAAATGGGGTAGTTGGTTAATTTAAATCACTCGTCCATTTAATTGTTGAGTTATTTATTTCCAAGTCTAGAAATAACTGTTTTGGGCTATCGAGAAACCACGTTGATCAGGCGTGTATGTACTCCACGGTTTAGGGGAAGATAGGGGATGGACCTCTAAACCGGATTATTGTTTGGGAGGAGATAGGGGTTGTACTCCACGGTTTAGGGGAAGATAGGGGATGGACCTCTAAACCGGATTTTTGTTTGGGAGGAGATAGGGGATGGACTCCATTAGCATCACTTTTATGTGTGCTTATTTATATTGAAGTGTTTTATTTGATACAGCACTAAAATGTGTATCAAACTGGAAGTATGAAGTGTTTTGATTTGAGCTTGAGTCTCATCTGTTTGTTGACATTGGAAGAATGTGAATATAATATATATAGTTCACTGTTGTAAGTTTGGCCAGGTTCTGAGCCATATTGATAAAGTTGGAAAGTAAAACGTGTCTTAGACAATATTGTCATGAGACTGTAAAATGATGTAATTGATTATCTTGGTTAACCATCTATTGAATGCCATAGCTTTATTCATTGCTTATATTTGGTTTAGTATTTTTCTACTGGGCTGTGGCTCACCCTTTATGGGAACATCATTTTCAGGTTCAGGTGATAAGCTACCTCCAAGGACTTAGCTTGGGAGGATGTGGCTTTTGGATTTTGAAGACTATCTTTAATTTATTGTTTTTATTTGTTTGTACATGTAAACATTCAAGCCTAGGGCTTTACGTGTATTTGAGTTAGAACTCATATTTTTGTGTCCAAGTGTTGGCTTGGAAAGATGTTAGCCCGTAGGGCGTTTAATTTGATGTTACATGTAATGCTTTTATTTAGTAATACTCTGATGAATGAATTAATGAATTGTTTTCTTTAAATATTGCATGTCGATGATATATACATAGTGGGTTTATTTTGAGGGCGTGACAATACTTATATGTGTATTTTTCATTAAAAAATGCTATGAGTTGTAATTGAATCAAATTGAGATAAAATCATAAATTTAGGATCAAAATCGAGCCAATTGAAAATACAAAGACTAAAATGATGCAAGAGGTAAAGTACAGGGACTATTGTCTTAATTTACCCTATATATATATATATATATAGGGTAATGCTACCATATACAAGTTATGTTATTTGTGAGTTTGATTATCACAAATGATATAACTCAATACTATGGGAATCATATATATATCAAAAATAAATAAATAAAAATTTTTGAGTTGTAACCAAACATCACATTAGGTATAAGCAAACAACTCTTAAATCATCACCGAAATAATTTCATAACCAATATCACAATGTGTCATAACTAACAAGATAACAGGTCATAATCAAAGACACAAAAGTGTAAACCAAAGCATAGAATTTCCGAATGTTATATATATATATACATATTTCATAATATTTATAAGGGAATTCTATATAACACTTTAACAAATGATGTATTATATGCCTGACTTTTTGTAGTCATTAGTTATGACTTATTTAATTATAATTAATTATAGATATTATTTTGGTTATAACTGAAGAAATTTTTGATAATACCTCAAGTGATATTAGATTATGATGTGTTTTGGTGTTGGTTATAACTCGTTGTAATGTTGGCTATAATTTAATTATGACTTAATGTAATTGTTATTTTGGTTTAACTGGAGAATTTATTGGTTATATCTAAAGTGATATTTAATTAAGATTTATTGTGGTCCTTCTACTTATGACTAAAAGTTGTATTAAAATCACAAAAAATAACTTAACTTGCATGTGGTGCACTCCAAAATAGGAGTTTTGTAGAAGCTCCTTTTATTCTGTATGTTTGGTGTAACTGGGAAGCTAAATGTTGACAACAAAAAAAATAAAAAATAAAAAGGCACTCCCTCTTCCATCTCCTAAATAGTCTTCTTTCGCTTTTAGTTTATTTAAATTATTTTGGTTTTGTAATATATATAAATAAAAGGTTCACTAAATAATCTATCACATTTTTAAAATAAAAAATATGTATATTGCAAATAACTCAAATAATCTGTATCAAATACCCTATTATAATATTGCTAAATTCCTAACACTAACAACTTTTTAATGTATATTTATATATATCTAGACAAGTAATTGGTAGAATCATTGGTAGGCAACAAACCATTTTCCTATTAGGACACTCTCTGCTACCTTGGTGCAACTTGAGTTCAGGTTTAACTCTCTTAGTGTAGGCTATGCTAAAAAATCATGAATTTGTGGAGGGATTGTGAATTCAAATAAAAAGAAAATGAAAAAAAAAAAAGAAAATGAAGTAAAATAAACTAAATTTATTTAATCTATTTTTTTTTTCTCTTGACAAATATGCTATGTAGAAATTTAATCATTCCAATCATTAAAAAATAAAAAAATAATAAAGAAGAAGAAGAAGAAGAAGAAGTAGTAGTAGTAGTAGTAGTAGTAGTAAGAAAACAAAACAAAACACATAACATAAGATAGGCATGATACGTTCTAGTTCTTTCCCTTCATAAAAAAACTCTTGACAATAAATCTGAACATGTAGTAAAAAATAATAGATACCTCACAACAAAATTCAAAATCCAAACATAATGTTAAGATTTGAGTCCCTTTACTAAAAATTTTTTGAAAAGGAAAACTAATCAAAAGGTACCTGTACATATTAATTCAATAAGAGAAATTATTTGAATTTTTATTTTATTCATTAGTCTCTTTCACAAATCGCTTCTCAAATGAAAAATCTAAAAGTCCATATAAAAAATTTTGAATTTTGTTTTCTTAAATGATTAAATTCAAAATGCTTTTTGTAATTATAAAATCTCCATGCATCTTCCAACAATTTTTTCTAAGGAATTGTATATTTTGTTTTACTTTGACTCCATCAATATTTTGTGTGCAGTCAGATATGATCGAGTTCAAGTTGCTGAGATTGGAGTATGCTGGATTACCCTCCTACAGTCAATGGCAAACTTATTGTTTCTTCCAATAAGTTAAAAAATAAAAAATAAATTTTTAGATGATTTCTAATTCCCGTCATTTGTGTCTACGTTGTCATATACTACTACATTAGTGTGTTTATTGCAAAACTATTCAGCTACCTATAGTTGTATAAGAAATGATATATATATATATATATACATGTGTGTGTGTGTGTGTGTGTGTGGTAGTAATAAACCTAAATGTAATGTCATATTACTCTATCTTGGTTCTTGGACTTGTTGATGAGATAGAATTTGTATGATTTTAGATGCTAGGTATGCTAATTATCTGGGATATACACTTGCAGGGTATTTATTTATTTATTTTTCAGCAAATTCACAAGCTATTTTGTTGGGATTTCATAATCATAATTCTTTTGAAAGAAACATGGATGAATAGGTTTTATAATTAGGCTGGGTAAACTAGCCAGGCCAGGGAGAACTATTGTCAGTCCATGTTAGCTGAGACTCAACATGGAGATCGGCGACAAATTTAGCCATAAAAAAGATACTTGCATAGAAAGAGATCCTAGAATGTGTTAGTGAATATGATATATATATATTCACTATATATGGGGAGTGTTGGAGGCTTATTGTGTGTTTGGAACCCTGAAGTTTTTATGATGTCAGAGTGTTGCTGCAGTAAGCATTTCATAGTGCTCTTAGGTATGACTTCTGATCTTTTTAAGTGTGTGACTTCAAATATTTACGCACCCAATGATGTTGATAGTAGAGGTAAGTTGTGGGATACACTTGTAAGGATTAAAAATGATTTCAAAAAACCTTGGTGTGCTGGAGGGGATTTTAATGAAATCAGGTATTTATCTGAGGGAAAAGGAGTATCTAGAAGGGATAAAGGGATGAGAGAGTCTGGTAACTTCATTGAAAAAATGGAATTGGATGATTTACCAATGGTAGGGAGAAGCTTTACAAGGTGCAATTCACTTGATGGGGAGAGGTGGAGTAGGATTGACAGATTCTTAATTGATCCAAGGTGGTTGGAGAAGTTTAAGTTTCAATTGTGGGGTTTACCTAGGGATGTATCAGTTCATTACCTTATATTACGTAGGAAGGATGGTAGGAATTGGGGTCCTAGACCATTTATAGATTCTGGAATGCTTGGACCCTATATCCTAATTTACTTAAAACAATGTAGAAATCTTAGGCGGACTCAAAGATTGATGGTTGGGTTAGGTATAGATTTGTCAGCAAACTAAACTCTTCAAAGAGTGATCTAAAAAAATGAAATCAGGATTTGGAAATGTGGATCACCAGCTTAAGATGACATAGGATGAATTACGTGATTTTGATTTGAGACCTGAATGAAGAGAATTACTACCACAAGAGGTGTCAATGAGAAGGGAGGTTAGAATTTTGGTTTGGAATTTGAGGAAGAAAAATGAGTGGGTATGGTTGTAGAAGTCAAGATTGTAGTGGACAGTAAATGGGGATAAAAACACAAGTTTTTTTTTTTTTTTTCCATCTAATGGCCAACAAAAGATTCACCAAAAATCAGGTGGATTCACTAGAGGTTGATGGGGTTAGAGTTGAGGGGCCTGATCAAGTGAAACAGGAAATGTTAAGGCACTTTTCTATGTTGTT